TTTTGTCAACGAATGTTCTGACGGTTGGCTTGGACAATCTTTATGAAACTTCACAAATGCATTTACATTTAAGATTTTTAAATTTGTTTTCATTGCCATTGAAGCGGTTGGACAAACTTTTTCACACAACGAATAAGTTAACTGACGTGTGCAGTTCGATTTTTTTTCTTCCAGGAGGAGGTAGAAAATCTGCCGTCACGTGATCATTGTGTGTGTCTATTGCTTGCAATAACAAACATTGTAGTCTTAATCTTTTTTATCATCTGTTTCGTATTTCGATATTTTACTGATAACAGAGTGTATGGCCAACTAACAACTAAACTACATGACAAACGGCATGACTTGACATATTTTAACTTTAAAATTATAATTATAAAATTATAATTGTTCAGACGAATTAGATATTTGTTCTGACAAAAAAAAGATAATAGTTCTGACAACTTAGTTCTTCGTTTGGACAACAAAATATTTGTGTATAAATAAGTTCTTTCTTCGGTTGAATTATGTATACTCCTGCGCTATATTGATTGACTGATTGTTGTTTTACGTCCCATTCGAGAATTTTTCAGTCATATAGAGACGTCACCATATACCGGTGAAGGGTTTCAAATTTTGACCTTTACTCGGCACTCAGGACCATTGAGCAGTGAGGGATCTTTATCGCGCCAACGCCTGTCGTGACACGGGGCTTCGGTTTTTAAGGTCTCATCCGAAGGAACCGCAACTTTTACTTCAAAGTGACGAGCGCATGGCGAAGTAACAGTTGCTACCCATTTTTCATCGACTTTGGTCAGTCGCGGCCGAGATTAGTAGATTAAGTTGTCTTTGTTCGGGCGAACCGGATATTTACTTGTACAGTTTAACGAATTACATTACTTTATATTATTTGTTGATTTGTTGGACAAGATTTTCTCTTATAAAGGAGAGCATCCACAAAATCAAAGATGGTGCAATATAAAGCACATGTATCAAGTGCACGTTGGTTAAGAGACGGATATCTGATTAAATTATTTTTATTGAATCCATTCTTTTCCGGTTTCTGGGATTTCATGGAAGTTTTCTTGCAGTTTAGGTTAAAATTGCTTGCATCTCAGCTTTGTTTGAACTTGATAGTCGATAAATGTTTGTTCTTTTGGGTTTAATGGAAATCTACGAAAGTCTCTAAAACATCACGTAATTCTTCTTTTCGAATTGTAAGATACTTTCGCTATATATCCGAAAATTGAATGTATGTACACTGTTTAAATGTTTAAATCATTAACTTAAAAAAAAAACAGGCTCTCGGACGCAACTTACATGTAATTAATCGGTAGATAGACATTGTAAACAATTCTCATAGTGTAGATTAATGTAACAGTTGTCAATTTATCATAGACTGACTGAGACATTTGAAAGATTGAATGAGACTAACAGATGATCGCTTTATCCTCAATTTATCTCAGGTGAGCATTTTGATTCACAGGCCTCTTGATTATAATTCTTAATCTTATTAACCAAAAAGGAAAATAATCCCTAATTAAAATCTACAAGGAGTCATTTTCCTTCATGTAGGGTATGCAGATTTTAAGGGTGATGCCACTTTTTCTACAGACAAAAGGGTCATTTTTCAACGGAATAATGACCGGGGTTCATTTATGACCGAGAGTCATTTTACGGCATCAAAAAATGACCCCCAGTCATTATTCAACGGGGATTATTCGTCTTTACACCTGACACCGTTGTTCCAATGTACCCAAAACTTCGCGTTTATCTTGATTTAAAGTATTGTTTTTTCAGGAAAACTGAATAAGAAGATGGATTATTTAAAAATAATAGCAAAGCAACAGTTTGTAAACTTGGTGACAATAGATAAAATGCAGATAAGAATGTTTAAAGCTCAGACATTAAAGGGTCTCGTTTCTCTAGATCTGGATAGCGTTGTCGTCCTTGGGCTTCTTGTTAAATATCCACTTTCATATGATAAACAAGCATCTCAAAAGCAAATCGCTATAGCAATTCTTTCTTATTACTCTTTTTGCAGTCTTGAATTCTCGAATGGAATTTGAATCAGGTTCATGACCATTTTGTCTGTTACAGTATATCTGAGTAATCGTTTTATATGATATTGTATAATGTTTCCCCGTTACTAGGATAGGGTCTAAGATTCCTTAAATTATGTTCAAATGACGACCTTGGGTCATTGCTGTTACAAATAGACAAGCTTACAATTAGATATCAACAGGTTAGGGTTTTTTTCCTCTTTTCTACATTTGTATCTCCCATGGCAGATCTAGAGAAATAAATGCATTCTCAATATATAATAGAGGAAGCCACTCCGAAGAACTTGAACCAATAATATTCAGAGTCTTGAGCCAAGTTATTATTTACACGTATGAAAGTACATGTACATATATCCCTTAAGGCCGGTATACACAGTGAGATTTGTATTCTAATACTTTTGTAGTAAAGTACTTTTCTGTATACACGCTAATGCAGATTCTGTAAGATTTGAAATAAACGTAGTTAAATCCACGTGCTGTTTCCCTCAATATTTCTCTCAAAACTATTTCAGCAGTTTTTGAACCACAGTGACTCTTTGTGGTAATTCCTTTATTTTATTTTTCAGTTCTGTACCATCCCTAACAAAAAAATACTATAGTTAACTATAGTTTACTATAGTTAACTATAGTTTACTATCGTTAACTATAGTTAACTATAGTAAATCAAAGTGTCAAAGTGATCACTATAGTAAATCAAAGTTTTCAAAGTGATCACTATAGTGTCATAGTGATGACTATAGTAAATCAAAGTTTTCAAAGTGATCACTATAGTGTCATAGTTATCACTATAGTAAATCAAAGTTTTCAAAGTGATCACTATAGTAAATCAAAGTTTTCACCATAGTAAATCAAAGTTCTCATAGTGATCACTATTATATAGTAAATCAAAGTGTCAAAGTTATCACTGTTGTAAATCAAAGTTTTCATAGTGTCAAAGTTATCACTATCGTTAACTATAGTAAACTATAGTTATCTATAGTATTTGTTTGTTAGGGATAATAGTAGATACATTTTTTTTTTATTTTTGCATTTATCTGAGTCGCTTAAATAAGAGGAAGAAGTTTATGACATATATTATGATATTCTTTGTAATTATGGAAATCTGTATCTATGTAAACTGTTTAAGTTAGAAATTTTTGAGTCAAAGCAATAAGTAATATAAAAAAAGGATGATGCTTAATATATGACCCCACTATACATACAGAACCATTTGATTGGTTGGGATAAAGGTCAGCTAAGATTTGTATTAAGAAATAGAACATAGCTCTATTCTTAATACAGTTTTATAAGATTCGAAAAATCTTATGATACACTGTATTAAGAGTGTACACACGGTAAGACTTTGTAGTATAATACAAATCTTACCGTGTATATTGGCCTTTACATGTCGGTGTATACATATGTATACACTGTAACCATTTGCAGCTAGAAATATTGTTTTGTTTAAAGAATGGCACAGACCCATGAATATTACAGCCTTTTCTTCCATGAAGCAGAATTCGAGTTAATTAATGAAACACACTGTCGATAAATAACTAGGTTTTCTACAGGATAATTATAGGACAAAATACAATTAAAAATCGATTATAAAATTTTGTGCATAGTTATTTTTAGTTAAATGGATAATCATGAGAGAGAGAGAGAGAGAGAGTTAATTACGTGCTTTTTGAGGTTCTGACTTTGATTGATAGGATTTTATGTTGAGGTCAAATGATTTTCTGTGTGTCTTAAAAATATTGCATTTTACATGACTGAAGCTTGATGGATGTAATCGACTTTTCTCGCCGACATTGTGGTGCCGTAATAATACATGTGCTTTCTTTTACTTTTTCTTTGAAATGATATTACTTACATAGTAATGTATGTCATTTTGTATTTACCTTCTCTGATACCTGGAAGTTCGACTTACTCGATAGAAGATTAAAATTGATGCGCTTACAAGAAGGTCTGATTTGTATGTATACACAGTAACAAAACTGACCATTCAAGTGATGTTAATATTCGAAAGCTAAGGCCAAATGCTGCATATTGGCTTCTATTAAGAAGTACATGTAATGTATATATACACATCACATGTCAACATGCATAATGTTAATGTGTCCAAGTGCTCAATTAACACACACATTCGCTTTTTGCTTGGTTATACAAATCACTGCCATCTGGGTTGCAAGGTGGCTTGTTTCTTTTTTCTTTAATTTAGTCCTGAAACCTATCGTTTTTTTTCTAGGATTTTAAACAAATTTCAGAAGCCCGAAAGAAAGTTGACCGGTGCTCCACCGTCCTCCTTTAAATGGTCAAATTAACTGAAACATAGTTGCTTACAATTGATATCCAGTCTTATTCACAATGACAGTCTTCATTGTTTGTTTGATAATTATCTTAGAAAATTTATTCATGATTCAATTTGGAAGCAATTTTTGCAACCCTAAGAAATAGTGAAAGTATATTATTTCTAATGGACACTTCATTGCTCTATGAAACCTTAATTCTGAGGATGAAAATAGTTTTACCTGTTGATAAAAGATCATTTAAAGCATCATCTTTGATAATTTCAAACAAGATGAATTTAACAACCATTGTATATACCAGCAATAAAGTTGTTTTATGTATGGAATCTAGAAACTCCATATTTATTTGTGTCTTACTTGTTTTGGTTGCTACTGCTTTCAACTCAGTACGAATATCGAACGTTTCTCCGTTCTAACGACGCTAATTTTGTCAAAATGCCAAATCCCTTCCTAACGAAGAACAAAATTATACCTTTTTACCAGGAAATCGTTGCAAAATACCACAATGCGAAATCATTGCCAAATATTTCTAACGATTGTCTAACGTGGTTAAAACCTCCATCTGTCGTGCAATATCGTACTAATTAAGGTTTTCTCTTTTTCCATTTCCTTTAATGACAATTGTTCATACAGAAAAGGTTTTGTCAAAACAGACCAAAGCTGTGATGATTACCCAATTCTCCTTGGTATCTGCATACTGTAGTAATAATTCCTGTAAATTTTCGCCTTGTCCGCTTTTTTCTCCAAACTTACGAATGATTTCCTTTGTTTTCTGAAGTTGTGCAATGCTGAGAATTGGTTGCAATATATTTTCATACTTGACCAAAGTTCTTTGGAGATCTGGTACTGGTAATTTAGGTAGAGGTCGCTGTAAAAGATAGATCAATCTCACGTCAAATTTAATTATATATACAAGTATATTTTTTTTAACCTTTGCCGTCTTTAGCAACAGTCTTATACAGCAAACTGAAAGTAGTTTTTGGTTTTGTATTTCTTAATTACCTTAGTATAGATATTAGACCTGCAATATGAAAAACAGTGTCAATTAGTTTTCTCCTATTGCCAATTAGTTTTCTCCTATGATCCCTTGCACTTCGTTATTGGATGCAAGGGATCATGGGACAAGACTTAAGTGTAAGTCTCATCTTCTCGGGCCTTTCCGACAAGCTCGGATAAACACTTTTTTCCGCTTGTTGGAAAGGCCCGATAAGTTTCAACCAATGAAATAATAAAAAATTTCACATCATGCATTTTCTACAAATCACAGAAGAAAGAAAGTGCATACTCTGAAGACTGTAAAATATTTCAAGTCTGTATTTCTTTCAAGAAAGACGGTAATAAACTCGGTTACAAACTCAAAACAAATCAACCGAACTGATCTTTCGCATGTTCAATCAAAATTTCGTTACTTTATTTGATAAAAGATTTTTGTTTTGCAATTTGTAAATTTATCAATTAAGATTTCCTCAAAACTTCGCAAATTCTATGGTCGATACAATGACCTTGTCAGAAAATATAATCTATCATTAAGTCGAATGTTCACTCTTGTTTTTCAAATTGTTAGACCATATGATTCTTTTTACTCCAAATTGTCTACGGATTTATCCGTTTGCCCGATCATGACAAGGAGAACACGGCGGGTGTGACTGGTCGACGTCGGATGCTTACTCCTCCCTGGCACCTAATTCCGCCTCAGATGTTTTTAGAGGTCCGTGTTTGCTCTGCTCCTAATTTGTATTGTTTGAGCTTGATTACTGTGCGTTATCTTCATATTTCACCGGCAAATACAGAATACAAACACAGAAAAACATATTGGAAAAGCTTGTTGATATATATATATATATATATATATATATATATATATATATATATATATATATATATATATATATATATATATGGGATATATTTATTACATTTTCAATAATGAAATACTGTGATTTATTTATTGAATAAAAGTGATATTCTCTCACAGTGTGAAAGGATATCAAGGAAAGTAAAAAATAATTTCTGGCCTGCCATAAGATAGAGATAGTAACTAAACCATTTTGATAGAGACAAAACTGTCAGTTTCTTCCGAAATATATGTTGCTAAAATCCATGTTAACAATGATCTCTAAGCTATGACGTCTCAACCGCTCAACTGTGACGTCACAGCCTTTGACACTGTGTTACGAAAAGGCATGACAGAGACAAAATGAAACAAAATGTAATTAACAGAAAAATCAGTGTTTTTTAGTTGGATATCGAATTTATTTCACCCGCGAGACAGGATTTTTTTTATATTTCATTCGTGCTTCGCACTCGTAAAAATATATTTTAAAAAATCCTGTCCCACTCGTGAAATAAATTCCATATCCAACTAAAAAACATTGAATATCCTCTCTCTCTCTCTCTCTCTCTCTCTCTCTCTCTCTCTACAAAGACACAAACAATAGAAATTGTCAAATTTTCGGGACATTCCTTCCTCGACCGGGTCTATGAGACAAAGAAAAAAGTTAGAAAGTCATAAAAACAAAGGAGATAGAGTAACAAAAAGAACTAGCACTACAACTGAACAACCAAACATTACTTGGCGCAGTGGTTAGAGCGTTCGCTCTAGAGTCGCACAGTAAGGGGGTTAATCCTTACGTCGCATTTTCGAATCCCACTGTGGGAGTGGAGACCGGTCCTTCGGATGAGACCGTATAAACCGAGGTCCCGTGTCGCAGTAGGTGCTGGCACGAAAAAGATCCCTCACTGCTCAATGGCCCTAAGTGCCGGGTATAGGTCAAAATTTGTAGCTCTCCAGACTCAGGGTTCGACACTAACATTTTTAGGCTTTAGTCCGGCCGGACTAGTGCTTCTTTACTTTTACTAGTCCGCACGCGATTTTATGAGTCCGCGTCCAAAAAAAGGAAACATCAATTTTTTGGAACGATAAATTTAAAAATAAACATTAAATGTACTTTTTATACTTTTTTGAAAAATAAAGAAAGCATTAACGTGAAGGGTTTTATGCCACAGATTCATTGAAAACTCGCAATCAGGAAGTACGATCGTATTCCCGATCTCGTTCTTTTTTTCTCCATTCACTACATCCAAAACGTCCGACATCTTTTTTGTGTCATACTAAATCATGATCGCTAAAATGTTGAAATTCATATCAATCAGTCCTAAAATTGACTCGGAATTACCTAACTACCCGCCAAAAAAGTTAAGCTAAAAATACTTGCGGGGTTTTCCAGTAAAAGTTGTCGTAGAATCGAACATCGGTAATTTATTCATTTTGTTTTCCAGAAATCTTTATTAGTCCGTTCGGACTAATTAGCCACAGATTTCACTAGTCTGAATGAAATTGTACTAGACTGAGACTTACGGACTAACGTTAGTGTTGAACCCTGTCAGTCCACCGGCAAGTGGTGGCGTCTCCATATGATTGAAAAATTCTCGAGAGGGACGTTAAACAAACAAATAAACAAAAACCAAACACTATTAACATATTTACAATTTTTACATGTTTGATTAATAGTTGATAGCCAATTGCTTTAAAATAATTCCGGATCCCTATAAAATACATCCGGTCCGGTTATGTCTGATGTACTCCGGTGAAGTACGATAGAGATTGATTGATTTTTTGTTGTTTAATGTCCCCATCGAGATTTTTGCACTCATTTAGAGACGTCACAATATAACAGTGAAGGACGTCTAATTTATACCTATACTCGGCACCTTAGGGCAATTGAGCGATGAGGGTTCTTTATCGTGCCAACGCCTGCCGTGACACAGGACCTCGGTTTTTAAGGTCTCATCCGAAAGACCCATGACTTTCACTTTTAGTGCCGGTCGCTTGACGAAGGATCAGTCACTACCTATATTTACGTCTTAGGTTTGACGCGGCGCGGCGAACGAGAATCGAACCCGGGCCTCCTGATCACAATAGAAACGCCCTACCACTAGGCTACCGTGACGGTTTTCTCATTAGAAACATAAACTGAAGACGAAAATTAATTTCAACGCATTTCCGTTCCTTAATATTAACTGAAACATTCTTTGAAGATTTACCCGACTCTTTGCACAATAATCTAAACCATTTAATAGCTTTTTGTTAGAGAAAGAAAACTCTTTAGCATTAACAATAGGTGATATCAGGATTGCACGAGGAACGTATTCAATTACCAAGAAGAAAATAACTACAGTTGCTGAATATTATTTGAACACTATTACTGAACTACATGTGAATTCAATGTAAACAATGAAGGGTGATCTAAAATCAATAGCGCAGGGGATAGAAGGCTTGTTATGACTAACACACATCCCTCCCACACGTTGTAGGTATGTATCATTTTAATTCTTTTCTCACAAAGAGTTTGATGTGAGTATGGCGAAAATTTGTCCTTTCACGGTTTTGACCTGTAATATACCTAATATCATGACCATTCTGAGTATAAGTGCGATTGTTATCAACTATATTGCTTGGAAACATTAATTTTGAAATATGAGTATGGCAGAAAATCTAGTGAACTTTCACTGCCAAAGGGTTATTCACTCGTCATGGCTAACCAGTATATAAATCTTGATGATTATCAAACTAGGTGTTCTTTTTGTTATATATCAGTCAGAAACAATATGACAATTTTTACAATGACTCTGAAACTACTATTCTGTTTAATCAATGCGAAAGCTTAAAGAAAAAACTCTTGACTCCAAAACAACATATTCTTAGGCAGAGATTAAAGAAAAAATTATGGCTCATCAGAAAAAATAAAATTATTTTATCATATTGTAATCTGATAATAAATGTTATTAAAAAAACTCACACTCAGATCCCAACAAGGGTACTGTTCTTGGTCAATGGATGCCACTCTTTTAACATACTCCTTGACATGTCGTGTTGACATAATGTAGAATTTCTTTAATCCCTGGACTCGACTCGGTTTGAATAGAAATATATATACATTACACTTCGAACAATGGTAGTAATGAGTGGACATACATTGATTTCTAATTGTCAATCCATGTTATTTGAGTCCTCTCTCTCTCTACATGTTCACGATCTGAAAAAAGGAAGACTAGAAAGTTTTATACTTCTTATATTTTCATCATTGACTAATTTATTCTCAATTTCTTTGCTTTTAATTCGAATGACAAATAATTTGCTTATGTTTTAATTTTAAAAGTGACAATTATATCTTGATTTAAACATGTATAAATAAAACAAAAATTAAAAAAAAAGTCTTCAGAAATATTTTTCTGTGTATTATTTTTAAACCCCTCTATCAATTCTTACTTTTTTTCCCACTGAAATTGCATTCATATGATCTATTTGGATGGTTCTTTAAATAATTATGGAGTATAGATATAAAAAACTGTTAAGAACCAAACTCTGAATCATATACTTTTTATCTAACTGGTTGTGTGTTTTTATCTCCCCCGCTATGGCTCGGGGATAAAACACACAACTCGTTGGACGCAAAATCATATCCTACCACAAACCATGGGAGATCCTATATATTTAAAAAAAAAAAAATGACCGAACACATATTTATCAATTTGCTCTAAAATATAGGTGAAGTGATATTTTTCAAAGATCTGTGAAATAAATAATAATGCCTTATGTTGGAAATAGACTTTCATGATCAAATTCAATGTATTTAGACTGTAGTAACTTTTGTTTGTCCAAGTGATGATCATGGCCGATGCTAAAAAAATGTTATACCAAGTCAGGAGTGCAACAGAAAAAATGTAATGTTGCCAAAAATAATTAATTTTGAAAATGTGTATGACAATTAAGTCAAAAAAGAATGTTCAAAGTGTAAAACAATAACTTATATATTTTTTAAAAGGTTATCTGAATCACAAGTAGCATTAAAGAGAGTCAAGTAACCATTTATACCCATATATTCAGGAGTGCTACATTTGGGGGTATTTTTTTTTTTCTTTTTCTTTTTTCTTTGCTCCCTAGCATGGAAAACTTTTTTTTTATCAGTTTATGATTCTTTACTTTCTATTTTGGTAAATAAAGATACATGAATTTTTTTTTCAAATCTAACAATTACAGGATTCTTCTGTGTTTCAGATCTATATTTCTACGGTCAGGAGTGCAACACATTTTTTTAAGATCCAAGTTGACCTCAGTTGCTAACAGTGTTTGTCACGTGATTTTATATGTCCTATAAAATATACTTTTATCTTTTTACCATATGTTTAGGTAGTTTTGTGACATTAAAAGAGAATAGTTCAAGATATAAAGCAAAGTTTAAATAATTTTATTCGTTTTAGCCATGATATATCTGGGATTAGAAATATTGCACGAATTCAATACAACTTGTTGTTGCCATAACTTTTTGAATTCTGTGCACTATGCTTTTAATTTTAAATTTTACTGCAATCAGGAGTGCAACAAAACTATTTTATAATTATCAATGAACTTTACCTAGCTTTACTAAAAAATGAGTCGCAGAAAATGTTGATACTAATTGTAGATGAAATCATTATGTATATCAACAAATTACACACAGTTTTGAACATTTTAAAGTCCTTTCAAAGAATTGCTTTCTTCACTAAACATATTTTTATACCCCCGCTCCGAAGGAGAGGGGGGTATACTGTTTTACCCTTGTGTGTCTGTCTGTCTGTCTGTCTGTCTGTCTGTCCGTCTGTCTGTCTGTCTGTCCGTCTGTCTGTCTGTCTGTCCGTAACAAACTTTGGTCGCAGTTTTCTCAGCAACTACTCATCAGAGGTGCTTGAAATTTTAACACACTCTTTGTTTAGGCATGCCATATGGTGGGATTCATTTTTGTATGAATTCGATGTCAACTTCCTGTTTATCCGTGCGTTTGTCCGTACACACATAACAAACTTTGGTCGCAGTTTTCTCAGCAACTACTCATCGCAGATGCTTGAAATTTTAGCACAATCTTTGTTTAGGCATGCCATATGGTGGGATTCATTTTTGTACGAATCCGATGTCAACTTCCTGTTTATCCGTGCGTCTGTCCGTATCACACATAACAAACTTTGGTCGCAGTTTTCTCAGCAACTACTCATCACAGGTGTTTGAAATTTTAACACACTCTTTGTTAAGGCATGCCATATGGTGGGATTCATTTTTGTACTAATCCGATGTCAACTTCCTGTTTATCCGTGCGTCTGTCCGTACCACACATAACAAACTTTGGTCGCAGTTTTCTCAGCAACTACTCATCATAGGTGCTTGAAATTTTAACACACTCTTTGTTTAGGCATGCCATATGGTGGAATTCATTTTTGTACGAATCCGATGTCAACTTCCTGTTTATCCGTGCGTCTGTCCGTACCATACATAACAAATTTTGGTCGTAGTTTTCTCAGCAACTACTCATTGCAGATGCTTGAAATTTTAGCACAATCTTTGTTTAGGCATGCCATATAATAGGATTCATTTTTGGAACAAATCCGATGTCAACTTCCTGTTTATCCGTGCGTCTGTCCGTACCATACATAATAAATTTTGGTCGTAGTTTTCTCAGCAACTACTCATCGCAGATGCTTGAAATTTTTTCTTTGTTTAGGCATGCCATATGTTGGGATTCAGTTTTTACAAATCCGATGTCAATTTCCTGGTTATCACTGTGTTTGTCCATAACTGAACTTGTGTATTCACATCAGAGCGGGGGTATTATTAGTGAGCATTGGCTCACAGACTTCTTGTTTAAATATATATTACAAAAGCAAATAATGATATTTTAAAGTCAATAAATTATGAAAAACATTAAATGATAAGTACATGTAATATCAAAACGACGAACTGCTTTACAAACGTTGAATGAGTTACTGTGTGTTATAATTTCTAAAACAATGCTTAATTATAAAAAAATATATCTGATTTCAGGAGTGCAACAAAATAAGATCACTTCAAAGTTTCGTATTTTTTGTAAGAAAACTTAGACATTAAAAAATTAATGGGGGGGGGGGCTTACATCTGAAAAATTGACGAAATAAAGAAAAAGGTATTTTTCTGAGAATTTATTGTATCATATTTCTTTAAAATAAAAACTTTTCAAACCAGAATTGAGACAATTAATGTAAAACAACAATCAAAAAGTCAATTGTTTTCACATATGCAAGAGGTCAAGGTTAAGATCAAATCATTTACCCGGGTATACCCCTGACACAAGTCTGAAGTCTGAAAAAAAAAATAGAATTTCTGTTGATTTGTATTTTAGAAAGTCTTTTGGGATTTAGTAATATTTTCTTTTTTCAAATGAAGTTCTACTAATACAAATTCTGAAACTTTTTTATGCATTCGTCTATTCTATACATTTGTCACTTTCGAAATTTTGTCTGGAATATATATACAGTATGATGTTAGAATTAAAAAATGCGTTATTGTAAGTTGATTTAAAACAACAAATTAATTTGCCGGTCATTATTTTTTTAATTCACCCATATATATCCTCATCTGAAACTTTCGTCATACTCTCATTATAAGACCCATCTCATACAATTTACATTTGAATCAACGCTTTGAATATCATTTCTTCTTTTAAAGGAGACTTTTACCATCATATTTGTAACCAATCTATGGTTCTATGTTGTAATATAGCCCTACCTGCATGGATGAACGTATGCACAAACTGGAGTAAGATGTCACGCTTGTGTACTAGTACAAACAAAATTTTCCGCAAATAGCAAGAGTATTAGTAACAAAAACTATAAAGTCTGCTTTTGCAAGCAATAGCGTATGTCACCCGAATTGAACCATCAGCTTTAAGATTATTCAATGCTTAAAGAAATGATTTTTTGTAAGTAAAGCCCCCCCCCCTCCTTTCTCAAACAAACGAAACACATTACGCTTGCTAGCTTTGGTCGAACCAAAGTGAAGGGAAGCAAAAGTAGAGCTTGCGGATTTGTGCAAGGTTCACGTCAAAACATGATTTGAGCAAAATAATTCCTACATTTTCCTCTTCAATTCTGGCATTTCTGCATTGGGCAGGGCTGATGTTTGTTTATGAGATGATAAACTATGTGTAAACTTTCTTAGTTTAGTGGAATCATGGACATTTCCGACGTGGTGAATGTTTTGTGTACAGTAGTGATAAGCCTTCACGCACCTGCGGGAGCGGATCCCAGGATTTTCAATTAATAAAGACGATGGAAATTAAATTCAAATAATTCTAAATATCATGGAATGGAATTATTCATATGCAAGTAATACATTCACAAGAACACCCGAAATGCTAAAAAATACAGTTGACAATCGCTACGTTTTAAAGATAAATTTATTTTAAATAATTATAAATTCTACAGACAAAACAGTAGAAGAATGGATGCTGGCAAAATATCAGATCACATCAGCGGAACTGAATTTTATTAATAAAAACTCTTAAGATCTTCCCTCTTAATTATAAATTTTATATATTGCCTACTCTTATCTTGCTGTTTCGAAGGGAGTGATCTTGAAAATAGACACGTTAATTAACCATCATTTTGTGGTAGGTATGAAGCCTTAGCATTATGAAAACTTTATGATGAAGGGTTGTGTTATGTAAGTCAAGGTCATTTTATTTAGATTCCAAAAAAAGTTGGGAGATTCTTGGGATTAAACCGGGGTAGCCCACGTGAAAATCCAGCACGCTAAAAATTGTGCTAGCGAGGACCACCGCTTCAAAGGGGGAAATGATGAATATCTAGAGTATGGGTTGATCATATTTAAAACAAATAATATATTTAGCTTTGTGATTAGATTCTCTATTAATCGTATTAATTTCGTAGAAAAATATTGAAAAACAAAAAAAAAGTTGAAAAAATGCTCTATCACGTCAGCAAGTTTCATATATCTGTAGCCGTTCTCGAGAAAATTATGGGACAAAATTCCATTTAAAAAATACAAATTTGACCAAAAATCGCGAACGGAAGTGAATTTTGAAAAATTGAAAAAACGTCTGGAGATATTTTCATGATGCATCTTCCCTGAAAAAATCTTTGAAATCCGTCCACTCACTGCTGAGTTACCGGCCAAACTATGAAAAAA